AAGAATATCTGCTCTCTCCTGGGTTCAAACACTGCCCTCAGAACCCCGCTCTCACTGCATGTTCATTCCTGAGTTTCCCACTCACACAAAGCAATATTCAGAATTGTAATTATGTGTTTTTGATGTTAGCGTAAGAAGGCGACTCAGAACTTCGATCATTAATACCAACTTTAATCCGAATTCCTGGAGTTACTTGAGATGAGGATATGCGGACGGGCGACACGATCTCCCCCTCGTGCGTTAGCTTCGTGCACAGACAAAAGGAAGTTGCACTCCAGTCGAGCGCACACAATTTGAAAATGCGTTCTAGACGTTTTGCGCACCCTTTGACTTCAAATTCATTCTTTACAGACATGATCATTCGGAGGTTCTCGTGGCTGTGTATATGAGAGGCTGCCCCCTCTGGGATGTGGCGGCGAGCAATTGGTAAAAACAAACCAACATTTAGGAAGAATCTGTTGTTTCCAGCTTCGGGGTACAATAATACCCTCATGAATATCCTGAACATACTGATAATGGAGCTTCTATGAAACGTCCATAATTTTCTGACAGATTACTCTGCGTCACAGCCCAGATACAAAAATCTTCGTCTTTCTCTCTTACAAAGATCCACTTTGTGGCATCACCGAGCAGTGGGGCTCTAACTTGTATTTCGCAGGTGCTTGGTTCGAAACGCGGCCAGGAAACCGGCTACATTGCCTGATGCCTTTCGTGGTTTTCCTCAGTCTCTCCAGAAAAATCTGGACCTCTTCCGTCCAAATCATTTCCAGTTTTTCACTCACCTATCACACTGCCATCCGACGTTATATAATCAGCGCCGTAAAATTATTGCCGAAATAAATAGAGAAACCCAGTGTTGCCTTGTATGAGTTCGATACATTTCCACGCAGCTGCATGTGGATCAGGTGTTGTTCTAGACACACATTTAATTCGCCGGGCAATACTTAATGTAAATTATCCTTGCATTAAACGGAAACGACGCTGACGCTTTGCTTCATCTAGGGCCAAGGCTGGATATGTGGAGTTTTCCTTCACTCTCCCTCGGTCTTCAAAAGGAGGGTGCATAAGCTCAGTGAGAAGTTGAAGATATTTTTCTTGGAATATGACGTCGAACAATCTGGCAGATCGTCAAAATATTTTGAAGGAACCAACTGCCTCATTCTTCAAGATGGAAGACTAATGAATATGTTTCCGTGCTCTGTTTCTTGCAACTTCCCTCAGCCACGTCACTGTGCCCTCGGAAGACGCCCGCTTGTAAGGCCACACTCTCCTCTCTCCACTCTCTTGTCCTTATTTCAATCGGTTCGCTCGAACCCAGTCCCGGTTCTCCCTCTATTTCTCCCATTCTCGACCTACTCTTCTATCCTGACCGTGGAGGCAGCAAGTTCCTCGGATACCTTCGTAACAATCTGTCAGTCTGCACGGAGGGTCATCCTACAAGATTGTAATATTCGCTCTCAGCGCCATGAGAACCCAGAAAATCACATATAAATTGATATTTACTGTTGTTGTAGACCCCATTACTGAAGTCATCTATGCATCTGGAGTAATTTTAGACAGAAACCATGCGTAAAAAGGATGGAAATATCTTCTTTTGTTTAAAAGTCACGAGTACGAAGTTTATTCTTTATACTTTTCTGTCCGTGATGATTTTGGCTTGGTTGAAGTCAGGAACAAGTCAAGTTGATTTGCACGTCAAGCCTTGTTATATCCAGAGACGCTAACAAGAATACGGCATGGCTGCATGTTCTTGTAGTCCTTGAGCTGCCGCCAGAATAATTGGAGTGCGATATTTGGATACGGTTTGTTAGAGAGTGCAAGCTTCTCTCTGGAATTATGTTAGCAGGAGCCAAGGCATCGTCGGAAATTCAGTAGGTATCAAAAAGGCTCTGTTTTCGTCAGATTGAAAAGAAGCGTAGATCCGTCTGTCTCTGCATATCTGAAATGTGAGATACTAACGATTCAGCAGTATCGTTTTCATCTAAACGGACATTCTCAGGCATTTGTATCTTGTGTCTCACGGGTCATTTTATCAAGCGTAATCCCATCAGAATGAAAAGATATCTCTCCCTCCAGGAAGTTCATTTTTACACAACCTCTTTATAACAACCGTCACAACACAACAAATATCAAGATGAGTGCCTAGTTTCGACTATCAATCAGGCAACATCAGGCAAATACACGGTTAACATATATACACCACTGAACTGCAGTACTAATAAAATTGGATACAGTACTATTAATTAAATAAAACACTTGACATAAAAATACAATAAATCACATTATATAAAACAGAAGTTATAGTATAAAACAAGAATAAAATTCTTAGATTGATATTTTATATCACTGAATCAGTTGTTGGTTTTGTAATTTCGTTGTGTTCCCACGGACAAACTGGAGTATTCTTTATTTTGTGTATATAAAATTGTATAGGAGGCTCCTAATGTAGAAGTAGTAAATTAATGTTAATCTGAAAATTATATGATTAAATGTTGTTATAATCAACAATTGAATTTGGTATTGAAGATATAGTTTATATTACTGTTTAGTCGGTGCCTCATCTTACAAAGTATTGTCCGCACTGTAGGGAATGTAAACAACGACTGATCTGGTGATGTAAGATTAAAGTCAATGCAAGGGAGGGAGGGGTGAGGTAGAGATAAGGTGTATGCGGAAGTGGTGGAAGGGGGCAAGGGGGTATGACTATATTATGTTTTGTATGCATCCATGATTACACCACATATAGGGTTAAACATTTCGGTAAAATTATCATTCAGTTGCAAATTCAGTTTGCTGATTTCGTAAAAGTGAAATCTTTCATAAGTATCCAAGGTTCGGCCTTTCTTGCCGATATATAGAACTTCTAATGTTTTGTCTGTCGTACTGTATTCATGTGTGGTGCCCAATATATGTTGAGCAAATCTGGAGCTTTGTCCGTTATTTTTTATGTCTCGTATGTGTTCTCTGAATCTGATCTTAAAGGTACGTCTGGTCTGTCCTATATATTTTAATGGACAGTCAGCACATTGTAGTTTGTAAACCCCACTGAGATTATACATATCATTTTTGTCATCATTTATTTCCAACAAATGTTTTGTATTGTTTTTTGTCTTATGTGAGATACCAGCTTCAGTATTCTTGAAAAGTTTAGTAATAGATCTGATTTCATGACCGAAATAGGTAAAGGTGGTCCATTTATTTTTCAGCGTAGAATTTTTTGTAGATGGTTTTTGTGCTAGTTGTATGGTATTTAGTGGGTATTTATTATTATTTAGAATAGTTCTAACAATGTTTTCTTTTATGTTTTTATTGTTATGCGAAAGGGGATATTGATTCAATCGATTAATGAGAAAGTTTATAGCAGCTTTTTGTGTTCAAACTTGTGACATGAACCGTGTATTTGCCTGATGATGGCTACTGATAGCCGAAACATGTAGCAGAACCAAAACTAGGCACTGATTTTGATATTTGTTGTGTTGTGACGGTTGTAATAAAGAGGTTGTACTTTGTAACACAACAGGACGCATGAAATGAAAATCAATTTTTACAGTTATGTAACCTTTAGTATTGCGTTTCTCGTTTAATGGAAGTTCTACATTTGAGATCTCACGTCCCAGCCAGCCGACCGTCAGGTTCCACTAGATGAGCAACACTGGTCTGAACCGCATTGAACGTTTCCAAGTTTTCACATTACACTCAGTACTCATGGACAGATAAAATTAATATTTCAATATGACTTTCCCAATTAATTAGTTAAATACAGGGACAAATTTACCTTACCTTATGGTCGCTAATTTGGCCATACTTAAGAGTCAATGTAAATTTCAACTTCACCGTCATCTCTGAAGCAGAACGTGATACGAAAAACTGTTCCTTATAGCAGCGGACATAGATTTAGTTGTGGCTTTACATTTCTTAAACATTCCTATATTTCAATTACTTAACGAAAGGCAAGAAAAGTGGTTTCAAACTGTGCAGTGTGTTTAGGTTTGCACCGTTGGTAGTGTTGTAACCGTTGTTTCTCACTTCACAGCAGATTATTACTCGAATATCATTAAAGCTTGTGACTACAAAGTCGGCTGGTAACCCTTTAAGTTTCTATCTCTAATTCTGGCAATTGACTGACTTCTACACTTTGCCTCTAATTTCAACGTGCCCCGGTATGTGACTTTACGTCTGATATCTTCGGAGTCTGGTGTTTGACTTTTCCGACAACTTTACGTCTAACTTCTGCCGACTATCTTTACCCACTAACGCTTCCCCGGACGTTCAAGTCCTGGCTTTCACCAGCGTCCCTGCTCTGTCACACACTTAAATTTCCGTGATTGGTCGGTTTAAAATTTAGACGTATTCTAATTAGACATTCCTCCAGTCACTTTAACACTTACAAAGGGGTAAAAAAATTCTGTCTTAACGAACTCCTGTCCAAAAAGTGACGAATGTGCAGCGTGGCTTGGGATCGTAAAACTATCACTCTCCTAAAATAAGGCATGTACTAGATTCCAAGCATTGAGTATACCATGGGATTTTTAGCTATTTTTCGCTTAACTTTCAAAGAGACTTCTCAGTGGGGTGTCTTCCTGTCTCTGCTGTAAGCGTGGGAAGACGCTAACTCTTAAATAGAAGGATTGATCTAAGTCTCACTACACTTGTTCCTGTCCTTACATTGAAACAATTCAATTTCAAATTAATAGCATTAATCGTATTTAAATAGGCAGCACGGCAGTGGAACGGTTACAGTGTTGGTTGTGTTGCTAGAATAAATTAACATAAAAACCACTTATTTTCCAAAATCACAAGACAAGCTTAAGCAACACATGCGCACATTTCCGCAGTTCGCATTTACTTCAGTTGATTTGGTAATGGGATTTTTGTTGACGACCCATTTTATGGAATGAGAACCGTATGCATAAATTCCTGCGCTGACCTCATGAGCTGAAGGAGCCGGATCACCTTGTAACTCTGTCACTTCCTGCCACTAATTTGTGTCACTGTTTCAGGTGGCCAGCCAGAATACACAAATGAAGACCTGGAAGAAGAATTACCAGCTGTGCGTCCTCTTGATATCCCGCTACATATCTCAGAACTGAGACGTCATCCCTACGCTACGAGTACAATGCACACATTTGGACAGTCGGAGTTTGAAGAGCTGACAACCATTGCCAGCAGGACGACTGAACTGCAGCCAACACGGAAACCTGAAGGCAACATAAGGGATGATTCTTATTGGGATGAAGATGATGACTCATACGGTGCAGACCGTTCCAACCCGTCTCTAACGGGTGTCACCACCCCTGAGTATTATACAGAAAACAGGACTGATGTCGAAAAGGCGGAGAATAGCGAGATTAATGATGATGATGATGATGATGATGATGATGATGATGATGGATATGACAGTGAGGATGGTGGTGATGGTCACGATGACGACGACATTGATGATGATACTGACGATGATGACAGTGATGAGACGGAAACAAAAAACCCCAAAGCAAATTATGAAGGCAAGAGAAGGATGTATGGGAAGAAAAGCAAGCAGCGTGTCACATCAGATGAAACAACATTTCATTCATCAAAGAAACCTACAAAATTTGAGGACAGTGTTGAGCACGGAAGACAAAGGATAGAAGATGATTCGGACGACTTTCCAGCATCTGGAACGAGGAAAGAAGGTGAAGGGTCAAACTCAACCTTAACAGGTGCGCCTCGCAGTGCGCTGGAACGAGATCTGGCGACAGTCCTAAGGAATGGGAGCCCAGAAGCAGAGGACCAGGAGGCTAGGAATGTCACCAAGAGAGTACGGAAGGAGAAGAAAAAGGAACCGGGGGAGGCCAATTCCTATGCAGTTCGAAATCTTCAAGAAATCAGGGAGCTGGAGAAGAAAAGAAATATTCCTCAGAAGGTAAGATATTTCCACTTTACTCGTATAGTCATTTTTATGTATTCCTTAAAATGGAAACTGAAGTCAGTTATTTTGATAGGCTTCATTTCCCGTTGTACTCTCTGCATACAATCATCCATCGTTGATTGCCTAAGAAGCTGTGTGCTACAGAGCCCCAGACATGTTTCCGTCTTACAGAACAATCATCAGGGAATACAATTTACTGCAAATTCATATATGGAAATGTTTAAAATATATGGGGTATTATTTCGCTTAAATTTATGTTGCAGTATGGTGATGTAGGTTATACGAAGTACTGTGCGCTTGATAACATTGTTTTGTCATGCTGTTTACAGCTGTCTAGTGCTCGTTTCCTATCGGTGTCTGCAAAAATATACGAGTATGGCAACATTAAGTTTTCGTTTTGATCAAATCTGTAGGTGTTGTGTACTTTTATTCCGATATGCTAATGTATGCATAAATATTTACCGATGAACATGCAGCCCGTTGTCCGTGACGAGGCGCGTTAGTGAGGTGTTGTACTGTTATCAATTGATGATCTCTACTTTTGCATATTTTTGGTATTGCGGGTGTTCATGATCGGTACCGTAGTTTGTTGTCACGAGGGCTTGAAACTGTGTCAATGAGATAGTTGGCTTTTACGTTAGATCTTTGTTCCTGCATGGGGTTTTCCTGGTTTTATATATACGTACATATAGAAGTGTAGGGTAACCCGCATTTTAACTTCTGTACCTGTTGTAGAACATATTATATTAATAAATAATATTTGTTAATCTCTGATATATAATTATAAAAGATAAAACAATTTCGTCCAGTTTGACTGGTGAAGACTTTTCTTATTTCAATTCTTCATGCCCTTAGAGACCATCATCAGAGGGACATCGATACAGTTTGGCAGCCACTCTTACAATGGGTGTTCTGAATGTTATATATATACTTACAATGTTGACAATACACAAATGGATTGCTAGTGGGGTGGGACTAAGTCCCTTGTACTGCGGCCACTTCTAGCCTCTTGTACCAGCCCCAGATGATAGGTGAGGGTGATTGTGGAGCATTTGGTGGAATGAAGATTGGCAGGGGAAACCGTAGTACTCGAAGAAAACCTGTCTCAGCGCCACTTTGTCCACCATAAATCCCATTTGACCAGACCGGGGATCGTACCCGGGCCGCCGCGGTGGGAAGCCAGCGACTAACCGCTTGAGCTATGGCGCGGCCCTTCATTCAGTTGTTAGTCCGTTTATTTATTCTCTGTGCATTTATCTTCATCAATTAGTTAATTCTATCATTGTTTCATGCACATATACCTTCAGGGGCACGCGTTAATTTAGCTGGTTGAAGTAATATGCTACAAGTCTGAAGGTCGCGGGTTCTATTCCAGAGGTCACTGGGTTTTTCAATTGACTTAGTCCTTCCAGCCGCCCTATGGCAATTGGATCGACCCAGTATCTATCAGATATTAGTACCAGGAATCTTCTTTGGAGTAAAGGCGACCGGCGCGTAAGGCTGGTGACCTCACCGCCATCTGTAAGCCGACTGTCTAGAAAATGTGAGAGCCTCGACATCTAAAAAATCCATGAGGCTCCACGGCCTGTTACATGGATGGCTTTACCTTATTTTTTTCACACATTCCTTCGTTCGTCCATAAATTCTAAAATTTTTCGATTATTTGGGTATCCGTTCATTGACTTAGTGATTACATTACTTAATTATTAAGTTAATCGTTTGACCACTTATTTTTACGCTTTCCTCCACAAATTATTTAATGGGGAACTAACAGGCGTTTGAAGAGATCGTGTTCGTTCTCCCTATACGAAGAATTCCTCTAGCAACCTTTACCTTATGGTAAGTATTTTTATATAATTTAATGACGGTTTATTTAGCTGCGATGGGCCGCAAGCAGGTAACCTAACTGAATAAGTGTATACTGATTAACATATCGGTAGGAATCTCGAGAGAAGCGATAATGAGCTCTCTGGAATGATATCACATGCAACTGCTAAGGGGGCTCTTGTTGGAACTAAAAGTGTTTTAATGAAGGTTCTTCCCACGGTTTCATGCGAAATTCGAACCTCCCACGTTGAATGTGGGGAAGATTGGAAGGGATTTTAGAGGAAACTGCGATTTTTCCAGCTGTAACAATATCCCAGAATTCGCTTGCAGTAACTATAGAAAACCACGAAAGAACTGCAGTTTATTAATTTAGTGATAATGTATCAGCTGCAGAGATTATAACATCGAGTTTCATGTTAGGAACAAGATGGTTGAGAGAACAGAGTGTGGCAGACAGCGGTAGGGGCCGATTTCAATGTACTGTTCTCTAAATTGACTAGCCACTCGATCGTCGTCGTCGAGATTCAAACCGCATCCATCTGGATTATGAGCAAGATCCTTTCGCTGAGCTAAGATTTTTATATTCCGAGATAATATCATCGTTACGAAATGGAGTACGTAAACATGCAGAAGTGAGTAAACCTCACAGAGGTTTCTGGGAACGAGGTTTGGTGGCAGTGGATGTCGTCTTAAAACTTCTGCTTCTTCTTTCCCCGAGGCGGGATCTTATCGCCTGTGGATCCATATCCACGAACGATAAATTGGATTGGAAAATTTTCAATGCTGGGTGCAGTTCTGGTGCCACGTTTGCTTTGGGGTTTCGGGATCTGACGGGAATTCGTTAAGAGAATGCAGGCTACGGAGGTGCGGCTTGAGAGCGCGGACTGTCTGTGCAACCGGAAGTGCTGCGCTTCTTCCCTTCTCCATTTGTTGTGTAACGCGAGTGAATTTCTCGCTATTAAATACTGAAATGAACGGGCACAGCAGTGTATGTTCACGTCATTAGTCATGACTAATAGTAACGTGTTTTGGACTGGGTGACTGGATTTATTAACGCCATCTTGTACAGTCACTCGTAATCTTAATAACTTAAGACACAATAAGTTGCTGCCTAGGACCCGCTCCATTCTGGTCACTGTCTCTACTCTGATCTGGACGGCACCTTATACAGTTTATCGGTATCCAAGGACATATTTCTTGATCACTCGTATCCACGGAAACGTGTTCCTTAACGAGTTGGTTTCCAAGGCTCAATCTCTACGAAAACTTGTGTGTCATCTCGTTTCTTAGCAATGGGTCTACATTTCACAATATTGAAATGAAGTGCATTGTCCGCCGGGTTGTAAGGATGTTCAGCTAGGAGACGGGCTTGTTGCCTAGCTACCCGGCGTTACTGCCCAGAAGTGTGAGAACACGAGATGATACAGTAGTGTCACAGCAAGCGCTACATGAAGAGTGGATAAGTAAGATTTATGGGTAACTACACTCTCTCTCTTTCGCACTCCCTGGACACACTAGCTGAATGGCCAAGAGCCAAGAAGAGACTAGGACTGCTTTCTTTACAGCCGGAGTAACATTAAAACCACGGGAAATGTCCTAGCGTTTAAATGCCAGGTAATGTCCACCATAAAGGCCAAATCCTGAACCCAATTATCGTCACAAAGTTTGTCGGGTGACTCGCCTTTCATTTCCAAAAAAATCTTAATTTCTTCTCGAAGAAGCCAAAGCGCTTTAAAACACTATAACACGAAAGCCAGCGAACTTCTGCATAGTACGGTAGACTCTCAAATTCACATGCAATGTCACTAAGTAAAGAAGAAAACTGACGTTGATTCAGTCCCCGAGATCGAATACAATTTACTACTTTCTTCACAAATTGCAACACATGATTCATTTTTATGATTTTTGAGCACAGAACTTCTTGGTGAATGATGCAGTGAATATGGTGAAACTTACAACTAGGACAGACATCTTTCTGCTTGGCCATTAACTTAGCAACAACCCCGTTCTGTTTCCCCGTCATAGAAGGAGCCCCATCAGTTGCTACACACACAAGTTTCGATAACGGAAAATTGTGCTTTTCTAAGAGCCCATACACTTCGTTAAAGATATCCTCACCAGTCGTTGTGTTTTTAAGAGAAATTATATTTAGTAACTCCTCGGTCGCGGCATTCAATTTTGAGCTCGTATAACAAAGCTGCTGCCTTGTGATGATCTAATCACAGAGGCACGTAATATATTTTGCTGGGTATTCCCTTATATTGGACCGGTCACGGTAGCCGAGCGGTCTAAGGCATGCGCTGTCTTCGCTCGCTCGGAAGCCGGGATCGTGGGTTCGAATCCCACTTAGGGCATGGATGTTTGTGTGCGTTTTTCTGTGTTTGTCTACAGGTAGAGGCCTTGCGACGAGCCGATCACTCGCCCAAGGAGTCCTACCGTNNTGTAAGATCTAGAAAAATCGAAAGTGAACGGAGTTCATGGAGGTAGGCCTAGGCCCACTGGGGCTGTAGTGCCAAGGAAATAAAAAAAAATAACTCCTCAGTTGTAATTAAGTCAGTATCACAGGCCCGGATAAACACAGCTAATTGTGCCACGCCACTAACATCTGCACTTTCATCGACTGCAATAGAAAACGCCGTGAAACTTTTAACTTTTGCCAACAAGTGTTCACTTAAATTAGTCGCAATATCACTAACTCTTTCGGCAACAGTGTTTCGTGACAAGGAAATGTTTTTGAAATTTTGAACCTTATCGGGACATACAACTTCTGTGGTTTTTACAAGACACTCTTTTACAAATTCACTTTCGCTAAAACATTTATAATTCTTTGCTATAAGTTCTGCAATTACGTAGCTTGCTTTAACAACGGCTTCATTGTCTCGTTTCACGTTCGTAAACAAAGACTGTTGCTTGCCGAGTGCAGCGTTAAAATCCCGTAATTTATCTTCCCTTGACTTTTCTTTTTACTGGTCGTATTTTTCACGATGGGTTTGGTAATGCCGTCTTACATTGTACTCTTTTGTAACACTTATATTTTGCCCACACATCAAACATGTAGTTTTACCTTCTATTTCACAACAGAAATAAGCGATTTCCAATTTTTCTTGAAAAGCACAACGCTCACTTTCAATAGTTCTTTTTTTGCTACTTGATTTTTTTTAAAGCGACATTGCCCTTTAAAAGTTACTGTACATATACAAGAAAACTCGTAGTTGATAATTTAATGTTTAATTATAACCTTTATACGTTCATCACAATGTAACATCAGCACCTGTCGCTGTGTGAAAATGAACTGAATGACAATGTACAAGAGACTACCGGACTAGTAGGAAGGTGTATCTTGTCTCAATGGTCATAAAAGTGAAAGTTTGCTAGCAGCCCATTAGACAATGACTGGGGGTTGCAAGCTGGTTTTGAAGGTAGAAATCCTTTGCACTTGTCTGTCAGTTGCCACCCTCCTTGCATTCTTACTACGCCTCCAAAAGGGATTCTTGGAAATACTTGGGGTGGTGAGGCTGTGCGGATTTTAGTGCATTAACCTTCTGAAATACAGTAGTTTGTCGTTCACGAACTTTACAAACCGTTAGTTGGACAAACCCTTCTGCAATTCTCAGAATCACTTTTCCTGCAGCCTGGTAATTGATGTCTGCGTGAGACTTCTTCTCTTCTGGTCTGTTGGAAAATTGTCTTTACAAAAAATATTTCTACTAAAATTTTAGTATTGATTTTAATATCAATTAGCTCTAAAAGTTGAGGGGACTGTTTGACACCGCTGATCTAGACAATCGGCTCAAAGATGGCGGTAAGGTTGTCAGCCTTATGCGCGGCCCTACGGCAAACAATGAAACTCCCCGTTCAGTACTCAAAGGATATTGCCCTAGTCGCCTTGAAATAGCATAATGACTTCCGAGCTGCTATATTGCAGTACCGTTGCTCCTGGAAAGGATTTATAATTAACGTAAAGGAGACACTTCTTAGTGTACTCTGTTATAAGTGAAGTGTGTGGCGTAGACCGTGAAATCAGATCATATATCGTGCCTTTGGAAAGACGCTTGATTCCAGGATGGACTCCAGTGAGTCTTATACGAATATTATGCCTCTACTAAGTGTATGGACTTCACACAGTCAAACAGTGCCCACATCTGCAAACCTATTTATTTTCGGGGTTCTTGAACTCGTTGATTCTCTCAGACGGTTGACTGACTAGTAGCTTGATTGATGTACGTAGTTACAGGTGGAACTCTCAAACCAAGATGTATATTATATTTCAAATAAACAGAAAAAATGTTGATTAGTGTCATATAGTCACGTCTGCTCGCGTCTCATCAATAAGATTACATAGACTCGGACTGGATTATATTTGCTTAAGTTAGGTGTTAATTGTATTTCTTCTTTCTATGCTCTTTAATTAACGCTGCTCTCAGGATCTCAGGGACTGTAGGAATGTCGCTGCTGTCAACTTTTCCTTCTCTTGAGGTTAGGTCCATATGTAGTTGAAATTATTTTGGAACTTTAACATGGGTTTTGAGGTAACAGATCAACTACTGAGCAGATTCTTTGCATTCGTCAGATCCTAGGGGAAATATGGGGCTAGAATGGGACAGTACGTCAGCTGATCACAGACTTCAAGAAAGCCTAATATTCAGCTAGGTGGAAGTATTGTACAATATTCTCATAGAGTGTGGTGTACCCTTGAAACTAGTTAGCCTTATAAGTACACTAAAGCTCTAATTGACGCAAGTAATGAGGTCGGTTTATGAGTAAACCTGGATAAAACTACCTACTTGGTGAGGTCTCGTCACAAGAGTGAATACAGCTAAGTTTAAAAAATGTTAGGGACGACAGTACAAAATAAGAGAAGACTGAATTCTGGAAATGATCTGAAAGTTGCCGTTAGGTTCGTGTGCATAATTTTCTGCCTCGCGAATCACATGCCATGGAACACCATCATGCATGTACTACTTCCAACTGTAAGATGAATACTCGGCTTATTTCTGTAGCCAGATCTCCATTTGTACAAAGAAGGTGCTCCGTAAGCTGCCCAAAGAATTTTCACGGAAGGTGGCGTCCTATTCCTGTTTCGTCACGCTACCATTCGGGCTGCCTACTGGGGCCCCTCGCCCAAAGCTGTAGCTCAAGTATATAGTTGAACGGTAGTATAGCAGTAGGTTTACAGGAACGGAAAGTGGCAGTGACAGGCCTTTGCTCAGTTCTACTGCACTGAAGTTTCCATTCTTATGAACACAGAAGCGCCCTTTCTAATGTGACATGCTGTTTGCAGCTTGTGGACGCTGTGAGCCCGAAAGCGGATGAGGACCTTCTGGAGCTGATGGTGCACATAGCGGAGAACCCCACAGAATGGCAGCTTGTTCATCAAGAGCTACGTGAGTATCGGATTTCGATATAGGAACTTAAACCATTACTTTTACCTGTTGTTCGTGTATCGTGGGTTTGTATCTGTTGAAGTCGCAAGTATTCCTTTCACGTGATTTAGAGTGTGCATGGCTAAATACATGGTATTCCTCAGGCTGTATAACTGTTAATTGCAAATGCAACTGTAAAAACGAGGAAGCGATTAAGCGTACGGACACACTATACTGGCAGAAACCTGGAAAGACTGGGCAAAATCTTATTTGTTTATTAACTCAAATATTTTTTTGCTTGTTTCGCACTTATTTCTTGTGTGTTTGTTTCACATCTACTTATCTGTTTATTTATTTAACGATGCTGACGGTAGCTCAGACTTTACGGCGTCGAATGATGAGGTATCTATCTTCATTGGTTGCATCCTGTTGTGTCTTCCAGACATATATAGGAATTGTGTCAACCGTCAACACAAGAAATATACTCAGATTTAATGTTTTACAATTCGATGTTTATTCCTGCTACATGTTTCGGTGGCACAAGACCATCATCAGGCAGTTATATATAAGAATACATACAGTTTTTGAACTACCGATATGGATCCATACTAGTGCAGCGTGTCGTTTTATATACTGACGTAATATTTTTGCCTCAATTTAGTGTTAGAATTAAGTAGAAGATTCAAAATAAGACGAAAGAAAAATATGAAAAGCCTACCATCTGTCAAGATATATAATGTGTTGAATATATTGTCACGTGTTGGGTATGTCACGCGACAAATAACTTTACGTGGGTGATGTGTATGTACTGACCGTCTTCTAGTGCACACAACCTCACTTGTCACTTCACTACATGTTTCGGCATCCCTGTGCCATCCTCAGGTGTGTTATTTACATTAAACTATTGCACTGCTCGCCATCATGTGTCGTTTAGAAAATGATTTAAAATGTATATTCTTCACGTACTATAATAAAATTTATATATATTAAAATTTGTTAAGATTTATCATCTTATACGTATTATTTCAAACTCGCGTATTATATCATTCTTCCGCTATGGGAGTTGTTCTTCCTATATTTTGTGTATACTGTGTCTTGTGATGTGTCCTTCTTTTGTGGCTGCGTGCGTTGTATAACGCACGCAGAAGAATACACATGAAGAATATACATTTTAAATCATTTTATAAACGACACATGATGGCGAGCAATGCAATAGTTTAACGTAAATATGGCACAGTGATGCCGAAACATGTAGTGAAGTGACATGCGAGATTGTGTGCACTACAAGACGGTCAGTACATAAACATAATGGACGAGAATCAGCGCAACAGGACGCTAAAATACAACATTATTAACTTTACGTGGGTCTCGGATTTAGCGAATCTTGCACACCGTACAATTAATATCACTTGCAGTGTCACTTGACTTCTGGCCCAATACTCCAATGCGACGTCTCAACTATCCTTGGCCGTGGTTGGATCTCAACTGTTTTCAGCGGCGGCTATCCCAAGATTGTCTCGTTCTCAATACTCCAGTATTCTATTACTCTGTACGTGTCGTAAGCTCTGCGTATATAGGGGATCTGCGGACTGGATACCAGACACCATTCCTCACCGTCCCGTTTCTTCTATATCGACAGTCTGTTGTTACGTAACGGGCCTTGTTGTCCATCTCCGGGGAAACGCGTTCGTTGTTTCGGCATTGTCTACGCAGCGGCTCACTGTTATTGCGTTACCATGGAAGTGCCTGTTCCAAACACGTTACAATATTATGGAATATTAGAAATATTTAAAGTATTTTATAAATGTTTAAAAAATATTTTTATAGTATGGTGGGTTAAGAAATATGTATGCCAATTTAGATACTAAGGTTCCAGTTCTACAGTGTAGAAATAGTATAACGATGAGATGATTAGTGAATATTCAGTTGGGAAGAATGTGGAAGGAGGCCGTAATGGTATAATAGTATTGTACCCGCATCCATCTGGGACTGAGGAATGCCACAAGAGACCCCAGGATGACTGGTCTCCGGGCCGACATCCAAGCCCGGAAATCTAGAATAAGAAACACGAATGTGGCCCACTAGACTGCGATGTTGGATGCAAATCATTCAGTCAGAACAATCTGTAGTCCAGCGTCATTTCAAACCCGTATATAATTCCAGAGCGTTATCGCTGCACCGCCCATCCATACCTTCTATACCAGTTCACAGATTACAGTCCTCATTGCCAGTGGCGTGCCGTGCATGGAAGCAAGGGAAGCATTGCTTCCATAGTTAAGAAACGAAAAGGAAAGAAGTCATATATAAATAATTCAATTTGAATAATAAGGATGTGAATATTGTCATATTCTTAACATTTTAGCCCGTGTTCATGTTCAAGGCTACATGCCACCTCCTCCTTCTCCCTTCCTCTGCTTGGGTTGACGGACCAAGTTTCCTTTCGTTAATCTTCGTATGAATTCGTCTCACCCGAAGTGGTGTAGGGAAGCATATTTCGGTTTGCTGGCTAGGCCAGGGAAGGAATGTGTTCTTTCGATGTTTATGTGAAAATTAACTATTTATGTGCAATTGCAGTCTTATTGGGTGTTATAAGTAACATTAAGTTTTATTAGAATACTGTAAGTTCATATATATATATATATATATGGCGTAAGATTGTATTTGTGATTGTATTTTGACGCATCAGAAAGAAGCTATCCGCGTTTAAGGGAAGCAAGTGTGATATTGTGGTACAAGTGGCAGGGGAGTGATTAGACTACACGCACAGGACACGGCTATAATGAATGCTGGCAGACAACGCGACTGCGACTGTGCAATCGAGAGCCTTTTAAAATGGAGGTTTAATAGCAGGGACTTTTCTGAAAAGAAAATAATTATAGAAAGAGGACGACCGACATGCGATTTGCCAGAACTTAAAGCACAAACCAAATTATGTGTGAGGAAATTTAATTTGGAACAGTATTCTAAAACAGAGTGGCTATCCGGTTGCCGTAATATAGGAAAACTGTTTTGTTGGCCATGCCTATTGTTTCTCACTGAAAACGATATATGGAACAAGACTGGGTTTGATGATACCAACAAACTTCATAAAGCATTGAAACGACATGAGAACTCTCAGACTCACATTATTTCAACAGTGCAACTTGTTATGTTCGGGAAATCTCGAATTGACTGTCAACTTGACAATCAAAAGCGTCTAACGATACTACATCGTAATGAAAATTTGAATGAAAATAGAGAAATAATGAAACGCTTGATTGATATCATCTGCCATTTAGGAAAGAGGCAACTTGCCCTCCGTGGTCATGACGAAAGCGTGGATTCTATCGACCGAGGTAACTATGTAGAATTAGTTCACTT